TAGACGTAGGGTAGGATGTGGGAATATCAGGTAGACCCAGGGTAAGCAGTTAGGAAGACAGGTACATGTATGGTAGGATGTGGGAATATCAGGTAGAACCAGGGTAAGCAGTTAGGAGGACAGGTAGACGTATGGTAGACGACAGGTAGACGTAGGGTAGGATGTGGGAATATCAGGTAGACCCAGGGTAAGCAGTTAGGAGGACAAGTAGACGTATGATAGACGACAGGTAGACGTAGGGTAGGATGTGGGAATATCAGGTAGACCCAGGGTAAGCAGTTAGGAGGACAGGTAGACATATGGTAGACGACAGGTAGACGTATGGTAGGATGTGGGAATATTAGGTAGACCTGGGGTAAGTGGTGGGGATGATAGGTATACCTATGGTAAGCCATGGCGTTGTTAGGAAGACCTAGTTTAAGTTGTGGAGATTTCATCAGGGGAACTGACTACTGGGTTTATGTTTTGCTCATGCTCAAGATGGTTTCTAGTAGCACATACTTACTGCCAGGGTTCTTGCGTTCTCTCTATTCCTTAACACACAGGAATAGTGTGTGGTTACTGCTGCACGAGCCTGAAGTGTAGCTGATTGCTTGTAAATTCACACTACACTTGCTGCATGCATCATACATGTGGGAAGTGGCCCGCGACATACCAACGCAGCCCCCAGTGTGTCCGGCTGGGCAATCGCAGGCGTGGGTTGTGCGACTCACGTGCTCTCATCTGTTTGCAGCCGAGCGCCGATGGTGCCAACAACTTCTCGACGATCCGAACGACGTCTATCATCACGCGGCAGCAGAAGGAGTACGAGTATGAGAACGAGTGGCGAGACCTGATGTCGGGCTACAAGCGCATGCGACGCCAGCACCAGAAGGAGCTGCAGTCGGTGAGGCGTCATCCTGCTGCTATCCTGCTGCTTCTCACACACTCTTGTGTCTTTCCGTCTTGATCTTGGAGGCTCACGCTTTTCGATTTGCTCACTCGTTTACTCGCTTTCTCTGTCCGTTTCTTTCTCACTCTCTCCCTCTCTTGCTTTCTCCCCCCTTTCTCTCACATACTCTTTCTCTCTCTTTCTCTGCCCTCCCTCCCTGTCTCGCTCTTATCCTTGCTTCATCCCTCTTTCTTGCTTACTTACTCAGATGTTATAGAAAGGGCACATAAATATTATATTAATTCACACAGTGGTAACCGACTTAAAAGAACGGGCGTTACAGCAAGCCACCAACACGCACAACGTTCCTATCTCGTTCTTCTGTCGCACGTCCAATACGTATACCGAGCCTTGCGCCAACACACGTCATACACCCCTCACGTTAGTCCATACACGTCTATAACACGCGGTCATTCATCCATGGCTATAACACGCGGTCATTCATCCATGGCTATAACACGCGGTCATTCATCCATGGCTATAACACATTGACCGCGTGTTAT